TAATAATGACCTAATAACTGAAAAAGAAAAGAGACGCTTAACTAGTAGAAGATTGTGATCAAATATCGATGGGCTATTTTTTTGGTACACAAGGCATGGTGACAGTTGCGTGTGTTTAGCTTTTTACCAAACCAAAAGTGAATAAAAGATAGTGTTATTGTTAAGTATTTAAAATGGTAGTGTGTTCAGCATATAGCTGTAAAAGCCAAAGTGGAAAAAAAGAAAGAAGGAATTACATTTCACTATAAAACTAGACTTTTTTAAACTGGTTAATGTTTCAGATGAATCATACTAAGTTTGATCGTAACATAATTTAAAGAATAATTTATCAAAATTTAAGGATAAACAGTTAATATTTACATTCGTTAAAACATTGAAAATACTGAATTTGTTATCGCAATTACTTTCAATAAACCAATAAAGTCATAGTGGTGTACATAATGACTAATTTTAATAATTATACAGTGCAAGATGCAAGATCAAACCTTCGGTCATGTTTTGCTCATGTTGAAGTGTAGTATTTCACGTGCGCAGTAGTATAAAATGCGTTATCGGAGCAAAAGAATACACGTTTCAAACTACTGCGCATATGAAATAGTAACAAACCAGTAATAAATTCTTATCACGAATAAAGCTAATATCGATCGTAGAAAAACAGTTTTAAAATAATTGTGTCAGCCACTAACTTTAATGCAAGGCATTAGGTACATCTTCGACTGGCAAAAATACCAGACATCCTGTGCCGTAGCTAAAATCTGAGCTTAATTCTTTGTGCAAACTGAGTTCTCGGTAAAAATTAATCTTTCTTCAAATGTTACATTAATATAGGCTACGATATCGACGGAAAAGTACAGAAGCGTCAACAAAGTCGTTTTTTTGAAATCACATGGGTTATTTACTACCATTACCAAAAGTTGTTCTATTTAGATTCCTCTAGACCAGCCATACTCAACCTGCGGCCCTCCAAGTTTTGTTTGTGGCCCGAAACACTATTATTAAAACTATAAGTTTTTGTTTTTATAATCTTGAGCGAAATGCTCGAAAACATTGATTGGTCGCAGCGCTAAGTAGCACGCTAATTTTTAAATAAACGCTTGGAATTTTGTGAGGTTACTGCAAAAACAAGATAGCTCCACTTTTGGAATTTTCGAGTTAAGTAGGTACACTTTCTAGTGTAAACGAAGTCTATATTCATGATAAACAGCCAATAAAAACTAACTCCATATTATTTTTTTTATGGCTTGGGCACTTGTCATTCAGCCAGTCGCGAAATATATTATATAAGTTTAAATTGCATTATCATTCTAAATACATACACTCAATCATACACACTTTCGTCCTAATCAAGAAAAGAAGAAAAATATATAAAAGAAGAAAAGGCAAGCATGGAATAAACAAGGGAAAACATTTCTTCTTGTCTAAGGGCCCGTCAAGACATTTTTTTTGACACACAAAACTAGGCCACGGTAAGGTAGGTATATAACAATTGGGTTAAAACATAGGTTGCAAGACTAATATTAATTACAAACATACTTTACTTTCATGCACAAATTTTATCAAGCAGTCGTAATTTTTTTTTGATTAAGTGAGAGGAGATGGCAAATGTTAAATGGAGGAAATATATTATTTTTAATTAGATCTTGTATCAGATCTTGAGATTGTTGGGTATAGTTTGCACAACTAAAGAAAATATGATTTAGATCGCCTTTCTCTTGACACATTGTACATATCTCCGAATCTATAACATGGATTTTGAATAAATATGCTGGATAACATGCACGTCCAAATTTCAATCTAATGATAGTTGATATTAATACATTACCAATATGCACAAACAAGATGGAGTGACATTTATAACAAAATATAATCATAACATTGTGTTCAATTGTTAAGTGTGTCTATCAAAACCAGATAGGCATATAACTTATTTTTGCTAAATATATTTAGTCCGATTCCTAATAGTGTTTCTGCCAAAACAAGATAAAGGCCAGAAGAGAGAGAGGTCAAAACGTACCTATATTTTGGAAATCACATAAAAACTTTTCATGTGATTTCAGTGATTTCAGTGATTTCACTGAAAATCCACCTTAATTTTATAAGATGATCTTTTTACTCTGCATTTACTATTTTGAGCAACGAATTGATTTCGACGATGATTTCAACCATGATTTTCTATGATGACGAGAAAATTTGTAGTGATTTCGAGTAAAAACGTACCAGTATTTTAGAAGTGGTTTAACGCTACTTATTTTTGTTGCATGGGTTTTTTGAAATACTGCAATATTGTGCCAAAGCCATTTGTTTTGTTATGACTACAGCCGTCGCTAGCCTTTCTAGATTGTTCCAAACTCCACGAAATGATTACGTCACCCTTTCTGTCCGCGATACAGCTAACCTTCAATAACTACTAGATATCAGAGATTGGTCAAGATGTAACGGGTGATTGGTCAAGCTGTAACATGTGATTGGTCAAGCTGTAACATGTGATTGGTCATGGCGTAACGAGCGAATCTTTATGTGAAAATTCGTAAATAAAAGTATTAGGGAATTTGAATTTTAAACATACTTTTTATTAGACAACTTGTATCGAAAGATTCAGCTATTCAAAATACATTCCACCAGAAAAATAGATTTAATTTATCAATGGGCGAGTGTGGCATTCGGATTTATATGCCAAACTCGCACAGTATTTATTCAGAGGGATGCATGAAAGGATGAAACAAAGTTTGAAAAACACAAAAAGTGTGTTTTATTTATTAGAGGTCCCCACTAACTAATTTAAGATAGATGACATAAAAAAGGTCATAATCCAAAAATATTGTGGCTCGTGTAACATAGCAAACATACGAATGTGGCCCGAAGGATAAAAAGGTTGAGTATGGCTGCTCTAGACCAACCTTAGCCTAGGTACCAGACCACAGAGGATATAAGAACAATGAAGAGATTGATTTACTAGCCTGAGAAGAAACCTCAAAGCCTTTTTATGGCTCAAAACACTTCTGTGTTATTTACACTGGAGAAGAAAAATCAAGGGCAATTAGCTACACCGGGGAGCTACTTCCTAGTTTATGGAGCCTCCTACAAAAGATCAAACAAGACAAAATACTTTAACCAATGATTATAGAAGTACCTAATATGTATATAGGTATTTAGAAACACCATGTTTCAAATTTAAGTTATTTTTTTTGTCACTTTTGAAAATGTTGAATATATCTATCAGCACTTCAGAGATAAGGTGTATGTATTAAGTCACCAAATCTACATTTTGTCAGGAGAGGTATTTTAAAGTTTACTTATTGTTTTAACAAATGTAAAGAAACCGTGAATATATTAAATATTGAAGTCTTTGCATAAGTCAATTGTTTAGTCAATTTATTTCGATTTTTTGTTAATTTTTTTACATTTTCCTAAAATTTTGACTTTGATGTGACTTAACATTATTAATCCCAAATTTGCAATATTTTGTTTATGACTTACCGAGTGTTCCGTCATCCGTTGTTTAAATGATGCAACTAAGGAGTTAAATCTGTTTTCCACTATATATAATTTAGTACGGTAAATACAAAAGTGGAGAAAACTATTTTCTCTGAAAAATGTGACTCCTTACCTCTGGGGTGCTGATATACGAGGGCGGTTTGACGGAAGAGTGACTTTTCAGAGGTTGGTAACACTTTCGCTACGGTGATTATATTGGTAGTTTCCGCCATGTTTCTGATGTCATCTGTCAAAATTTCACAAAAATCTGACAGAAAGATTAGTTTTAATACTCATATAAAGAAAACTGTTTTCGATGTTGGGTAAATATGGAGAAAAAAAAATTTCGTGGAAAAACAATTAAAGAAACCGAGAAAAAGTTACGTAAATATTATCCTGAAAGTGCTCCGTCCCATGGAATGATTTCTAAGTGGTTCTCTGCTTTTAAAAGTGGCAATATGAACACGGATGATGCTCAACGTCCGGGATCGTCATTTACTGTAACTACTCCAAAATTAGTTAATAAAATATATGCCCTTGTACTTAGAGATCGTCGAATAAAAGTACGTGAGATAGCTAATGAAGTAAATATTTCATCTGAACGGGTATGCAATATTTTGCATGAAATTTTACATATGAAAAAGCTATATGCAAGGTGGGTGTCGCGTTTGCTTAATGCTAAGATCAAAAGCTCGGTCGCATTAAAAATTCAAACGAATGTTTGGATATCTTCAACCGTAATCCAAGTGAATTTTTCCGTCGATATGTCAGTAGATGAAACTTGGGTACACCATTATACCCCAGAAATAAAAATACAGTCGAAACAATGGACTTCATCCGAGGAATGTGCTCCCAAGAAAGCAAAAACTATTTTTTTGACCAGTAAGATCATGGACACAATGTTTTGGGATTCCAAAGGTGTAATCTTTATTGATTATTTAGAAAAAGGAAAAATTATAACTGGTCAATATTATCCTGATTTGCTGACACGTTTTGATGCCGAACTTAAGAAAAAACGACCGCATTTGTTGAAGAAAAGAGTTTTGTACCATCACGATAACGCGCCTTGTTCATTCGTCCGCTATTGTTGCAGAAAAATTAGCCGAACTGCGTTACGATTCATTGCATCATCCGCCATATTTACCTAATCTGGCTCCCTCTGATTACTTTCTGTACCCAAACTTAAAAAAAAGCTTGGTGGAAAGCGACTTCAGACAAATGAAGAGGTGATTGGAAGAGACAAACGCGTATTTTGCGGAACTTCCGAAAAATTTTTTTTTGGATGGTTTGAAAAAATTGGAAATCCGCTGGGCTAAGTTTGTAGAGTTAAAAGGAGATTATGTTGAAAAATAAAATATTTTTTTTTAAAGTAAAGTAACTTTTTCATTGAAAAGTCACTCTTCCTTCAAACCGCCCTCGTAGACATTAATATTTTTTAATGTTTGTCTTATCGAGCCGTCTGCGTAATCCTAATGAATTTTCATATTTAAACTTCCTGTTCATAATCGAAGGATGTTTCTGCTTACCTGTCTTTCCTGGCGTACAACGGCAGTAGAAACTTCCGACTCTATCGATACACGTGGCACCGTTAAAGCAAGCAGCTCCCGCGCAGTCGTCGATGTTAACCGAGCAGTCAGGGCCGGTCCAGCCGTTAACGCAAATACACGAAAAACCGCCAATGCTGTTCGTGCAAGTGGCGCCATTTTGACATACAGATGGTCTGGTGGAGCATTCGTCTACGTCTCTTTCACAATATGGGCCTGAATAAGTGGGTGGGCATTTGCAAGTGTAGGATTTGATGCCGTCCAAGCAAACGCCACCGTTTTGACATTTGTGGCCAGGACAATCGTCGATGTTCTCTTCGCAATTTGTGCCTTGAAAACCTGCAACAAAAAACAGGGTTGTTAGTTTTCAGATTTCAATAATTTACATATTTCTTTATATGTATTACATAAGCAATTAAATGTGAATATATACAAAATGGTACTGGTAGATAACATAAAAGTCTTTTAGATTGCATAAAAGCCAAGCGTTTGACTTTTAATAGAAAGAAGTATTCGTGGTTAATGGAAAATAATTTTTCCGCCACATTCACAGAAAAGCAATATTCTTCTTACAATCAATCCCTTTGATAACGATCACTTAGTAAAAAACCAAACACATTTGCTACTTTCTTTCAAGTCACACTGCATACAACACTTCATTATGCCCAGTAATTGATTTTATTATCCGGCCCCGGAGGATCATTAATTCCCGTGTCTACACGTTCTTTGTGACACTAAACAGTGGTACCAACCTGCAGATCTCGCGTCTCTAAATGAATAGAACACCGGAGAAAAGTTACTTGTACTTTGTGCTGTTCTGTTAAGCTGCTATGTGTCTTTTGAAAAGTATCGATGCGTCAGTTGTCGAACAATGGAACTACAGCTACATAGTTGTAATAGAAAAATGTAAAATTTATAATCTATTAAGCATGCTTATATTTAATATACAAACTATGTTTTAAAAGATATTTTGATATCTTAGAAATGAGATATTCTATTAGTCGGTTCATAGAGTGATAAGCATTGAACTACTTTTTAAATTTTATCATTAAATAGGAATGTTAATGTAACTGCAACGATTAATAAATAACTTCGCTATTTTTTGCAAAAACTACTTACCGATTGCAGAAACATATTGTACATACCTAACACTGTGTTTTATAATGAATCTGTAGACTTCCAGGGCGCATCTTCGCTTCGAAGATAACTAAGGTAGTTATTTTATTAATTGCTTATGTTAGGACTGAGTTCGGTGAGCTACAACTCAAATGCTTGCTTGATGTTAATTTATTGTCTAGTTATTTAATGCTAAATAGTCATGAAGACAGCTTTTACCGCTGCCGATTATTGCTGGTTGCATTTTGGTCGTAAGATTTAAACTAATCAATAGGATGAAATATTTAATAAGTATGCACCTCTAAGTAGGCCGCTCCTGACACTAACAGTGTTTGCTTGAGGTGCAATGTTTAAAAATAAGTAACTTTTTTTATCACTGACGAAAATAGTATATTAAATACAAGTTGGCCACAAATTCCCGCAAGAATTCGAAATTTGGCCACGAGCGACGAAGGAGCGATTAGACGAACGAATGAGTGAGAGAGTAGCCTTCTGCAATATGTGTTTTATACTATTTTCTCGATTTTGGGCTTCATTTATAGTTTTTTTTTTTATTTTTTGTGGTCGTTGTTAGTTGGGGATTTTTTCGCAAAATATGTCAGTTGGTAACACTTAGTTACTGTCAGGTGGAATTAATCAGGCATTCCAAACAAATGAAACGCGGTGAAAAGGTTTGGTATATCTAAAGGGTTGCGACATATGATGTAGTCTATCTACAATATGTGAAATCAAATAATGGTTTAAATTTATATATATTTTATGTGGAATACAATAAAAATATTATTTAAAAAAATCGCTTATAAATTTTCTATAAATTGGAAGGCTTGGGACTATTATTTTAAATATAAATAGCGTCCACGATGGAAGGCTATATCGCAACCCCCATAGATTTACGAGCCCTTCCCACTGACAGTTATTAGTGAGTGTCAACTGAAATGTCACAAAAAATGTCACCAAAAATCGTTTAAGAATGAGCTTCATTTTTCAACGATTTTGCGTGCGAGAATATGACATTCTTGCACTAAAATCGAGAAAATTCTTACCTCCATTTTTTAACACTTTTTTCCTCATTTCAGATCATGGTAAGTTCGAAAACGCAAAACAAATTCGTTTGTTCGTCTGTGCATATGTACGTATATCGACACGATAACTCTAGAACGAAAGCAACGATCGACTTGCTGTTTTGGCTTAACTTTATAATTTCTTCAAGTCGAGAAAGTGTTGATATTCAGAATTTTCGGTTTAACTTTAGTGTTTTAAATATAAGTGTTTTTAAAATGGAACTTATTTTATGCACTGCGACAAGGGTAACGATTGTACAATGTGAAACCAAATAATTTTTTTTATATTGCATCACCTTTCAGTCTTTCGTTCAAAATCAAATCGTTTATCGTTTCTTTTACGAGTCTGCCCCTGGAGCCTCGGTCTTGATAAGGTTGGGAAACACCAATTTAGCATGTCTTTTTATTGGAAGATGAGTATTAAATTACTTTATAATTGTGTCTAGTTCCACACTATACTTTTTCTATGATGACAAAAGAGAGAGCAGTGTCGCCGAATTATATTTTTGAGTTCTTTTTTACTATGAAGGAATTTATAACCGAAAAAATATTTGATTGGTTTTAAATCTGTAGGTATCGTATTCATATTTTTTGTCCAAAATGCTTGCCATTGTTACCTACTTGGACATTGATAAAGACACATTAAGGAAAACGTGCTTTTTTATGCTAATGCGAAAGGGTGAAAAAATAAAGAACCCTTTCTTAAAGCTAAGTCGTCTGATCGAGTTGAATGGCTGCATACGTCATTAACGTGTCACTTTGAATAGCTACATTGTTAAGATATTTTCAAGGAGCGCCTGAATTCATGTTTCTCATATACCGCCGAGTATACTCGTATTGTAAACGTCATATCGAACAATCCAAAGCATAGAAAATCTTAAGTTTACGATTAGGTTGAGACAATTTAGTGTTCTGCGGTCAAGATTTGTTGAGGAAACGGCACAGATTTGCTTATGCTTGTGCTCCGAGTCGTTCGTGATATTGTAATTTTTAAAGGATAATTTGTTTCATAAAAACATCGAGAGGCGAAGATAGCGAGTAGGATAAAGATATTTTTATTCTGTAAAAATAAGTTTAGTCCTATTAGCCGCTGATTTATTTAATTGAACTCTAACAAGTATTGTTAAGAGTTTCTTATCAAAACTAATTTAATAGTAAGATAGCAAATCGAAGTCATAAAGATATAGTAGACGAAATGGACATAAAATATTAAATATAACAGGAACGTATAAGAGTGAAGAAGCAATCTCAGATAGAATAATAGCTAAAACAGAAGACGTAGTGTTGTGGCAGAAAAAAGCAAACAAAAAAATATAATATGGACCCGAAACTTGGCAACTCACAAAATAAGGTAAAAACACATTATAATAATATATCAACGGAAACGTATGAGCAGCAGAATGATTTAGACTAGAAACCAAAAGAAACATAACAACACGCAAATGGAAAAAAAATAACAATTGTTGATGACATAAAAACAGGAAACAACTTATCTAGACAGACAGGTTTAGAGAATGGAAAATAATGAGAGAAGGATTCCTTAAAACAGTGTTACAAGCTAGAATATGAAAACAAAGAATTAATAAAGGAAACATGGCAATTGGAACCGGAAGATAATTTATTACATTATAAAACCGGATGTAAATGGCTGTCAAAGTTAAAAAAATCGATAATCGTATTTTGTGAAGAGGTAATAATGGATAACAATTATCACGAGTGATATTGGGACTAGTGATAATCGCATAAGCTACCGTACGAAACGTGTTGTCAATAATTATAATTTGACAACACATTGAGTACATTATTTTATATGATTATCCATAGTCCCGATACCAAAAGTTATATTCAATAGATTATATGACGTAACATCACAAGCTTGCCCACTAGATCTTTATAGCATTAAATGAACGGAATTATATAGTAAAGGATTAATCTATAAAGAAGTGAAATATTTGATAAAAACAGGAATAAAGGTTAACCAAAAATCGCATTGAATAAGGCAACTTCGTTGTGCAAAAATTGCGGGTTAATTCTTTGGTACATAACACCATCCAAATGTGCTAAGTATGATGATCAACTGTTAATCAAGTACTTACATGATATATGGAGATTGATTATTAAACAACTAAAAGTATAGGAAATCATGCATTGTGCGTGATATAATCAATAATTAAAGCAAAGAAAAATAGTAATGTAAAAGTCAAAATATCTTATATTTTATAGGTATAGGGGTGGTTTGGGTATAACACCAGTCTTTGTATAATGTTACATCTATTATCTATTGTTGATCCGAGTTTAGTGATCAGGCCAGGTAAAAGAACCACTGGTTCATGTTACTTTAACCTAAGTTAGACGACGACATTACAGTTGCAAAGGTTACCGATTCGTTTGCATGATTCCAAAAGTCTCACTTTGTCCATCTGTTCAGATTTCTAAAGATTCAAGGGTAATTTAGTGTAGGTATAGGCAGGTGAAATAGTTATAAACTTCTTATTCATGCAAAAAATAACAAATTGCTAAACAGAGCAAAAAAGTCGTAAAATAAAAGAGATAAAAATTACTAGAAAAATAATGAAGATAGTCTGAGTTGAAAAAAGAAAATAAATATTTTAAAAAGGGAATAATATTTCGCAGTCAAAAATTGATTTAGTCTAGAAAGAAACTGTAAATAATTTATTAAATTTAATTTTTTGTTCACTCTTATTTTATAGATTTGAAGGTAAATATCCATTTTGTTTGATCAATACTACAAATTAATTCTCATAAAAAATTTAACGCTTTTCACCCAAAGCTGATATAAAGCCGCGAATGCATCCTCCAATGTAAATAACCGGATTTCATTAAAATATTGAAAATGTAGGTAGTCAGCGTGACTGAAATGCAACATTTAAATTGACTGAAGTCATCTGTCTGACCCGAATCTTCATTCTAAACCGAGATATAGTCTAATTACAAGTTAAGGAATCTTCCTTATAGGGCAGAGGCTTTGTTAAATCTCTTTGATGCAGTGATTACAGTAATATTCGACGTATCACCTTCTTACAACTGCTTATCCTGATGAAAGTGCTGCCTTTTTTGCATGCGGTAAGACAGTGGCGCATACAGGCAAAGAGTCAAAAGGAAAAGATCAATTTTTTTTGTGTCAGAACAACATCGTTGTAC